AAAATTTTCCAGGACAACATAAATTATTTTCAGGGTTTTTATTCATTATTTAATAATAATTAAAAATCATTAGCAACAGCTGATATGATATGCCGCTGTTTGTTATTTTAACTGGTGAATGAATATGTATTTAACACTGCTCTTTGCTGATTATATTAAATAATGATATTAGCATTGTAGCCCTGACACAGATTCTTGATATCTGCTTGGGATATCTCTAAAATGTGTTGTTTCTGTGCCAAAAAATTGTTTCAGCAGATAATCTCCTCCTTAGTGGTGAAATAAATAAATCATATTTGCTGAAACTTTCACTATGTCCTGACAGTGCCACATAAGACAGATAAATGCAATATGTAACACTACCTCAATATCAAAAGAAACATTGTGTCAGAGAGCTTTATCCATACTGCCCACTTCTACAAGGTGTGTTTGGATGTTTTGCTACTAACCAATTGGGATGGAGGAGATCTGAGTGTAGATATCCAACATACGGTTGCTGTCCACATCAACCAAGTAGTTCCCCCTGCTCTCCTCATAGTTACAGAAGAAGTTGACTGCACCAACATTCTGGGAAGAGACATGCTCCACATAAGAACAGCATATCTCATATAGTAACTCAGCAGTAGACACTAGGGGCTAGTTACTCAAAAATAAAAAAAATTTACTCTTTACTCTTTTCAAAAGTAATTGTTTATTACTTTACTTATTACTCCATGCCAACAGTAATTAGTTACACTACTAGTTATATTACTTTACTGCTACACCCCACAACATTGGTAATAGTTACCCTTCACCCTAAAATTTGGACTTACAACAATTAAAACCCAGTTTTGATTGTTTAAATCAAAGTAATGCTACCATTTCCAGCCACTGAATATAAGCATTTCCATCTTCCAAAATAGTTTCCTCTACAATTACAAAAAATGAATCCAAGGATGTGACTGGATTGTTGGATTTCAAATTAGTTGGGGGGTGACAACAAAAGGTTGTATCTAATAATATTTTGGGGGTTAACTGTTATATTATTACTGAAATGTATTAATAAATAGTTACACTACTAGCTACTGTGGAAAGAAATTTAAAAAAAAACTGGTCAGTCCCAGCAAAACTCCCAAACTGTCTTGTATCTTGTTTAGTTATTTAACTACTGCTGGATTCTTTGGCTCCCAAAGATAGACATGGTGACAACCATAATGCCAAACTTGAGGC